TCTCCCCTCCCTTCCCCCCTCCTGCCCTTTTCCTCATTGCCTCCTCTTGGCCCCCGGCATTTGTCTCTCCTCCACCCTGCCTGCTGGTGCCTTCCCCTTTCTTCTGCTGCCGTTCCCCCCACCTCAGCACAAGCCTCTTCCTCTCCTCATCCACCTTCCCCTTAGTTTTCTCCCTGACCCTTCCTTCACCTTCTGCCTTCCACTGTGGGGGCTGGAGTCGGGGCCATGGTGCTATTTTTAGTACCACGGTTCCAGACCCAGCTGCTCCCGGGGCAGGACCATGTGCTGGGGCTGGAGCAGAAGCTGCCCACAGTGCTACTTTTAGTACCAGGGTCCCGGTCTTTGCGGGACAGTGGTACTAAAAATAGCACCATGGATGGCCCCAGCTCCAGCTGGAGTAAAGCGGCAGCCACATGAGGCCCGTTCCAGCTGGGGCAGGCTCCCCTCGTGCGCCCTGGCTCCAGGCAGAGCAAAAGGGCATCTGCCCCCCAGCAGGAACTCACATGCCACTCCCCTTCTGTCCCAGCAGGAAGGTGAGCAGTGAGTGCTGCTGCGTGGCTCTTAAAATGACGTGGGCGGACTTAACATTTTCAGTGCACGTGCTCAGCTTACAGGGAGCCCTGGTGTGCAGCACTGGGCGGCCCTGGGGGGGTCAATGGAATTTATCCAGATACCCTCCTGGGATTTGCAGCAGAGCTGGGCTCAGGGTGCGCAGGCTGGACCCTAAGACAAGCCCCCTCTGTGTGCATGAGTCCCAGGGTCAATTCAGCCCCAGGTTTTCTGGGGGGTCGGCAGGGAGACACCTGCAGATGGTGGTGCTTGAATGCTACTAACGGCTGAGCCATCGGGGGCTTTGATTGGGACCGGCCCCAGACGTGCCTCTTGGCTACAGAGGGGATCAGCCCCAGCCACGGTGTCTGTTCTCTGCTGGCCCTGAGGCGGGGAAGGGAGGGTGAGGGCTACACCGGGCGCCTTCTCCTTTCTCCTGCATGCACCTGCCGTGCTGTAAAACCGCTCCCAGCTCCCCAGAGCCAGGGGAAAGGGACTGGCAGGGGCTGCAGCCGGAGAGCCAGGCGCTCAGGAAGGCCGGCCGGGGGAGCTGGCCTTACCTAACATGCTGTTGCTATGGTCCATGATGCCGCACAGGTGGAGGGTGATGCAGAGCCCTGGAAAGCAAAGAGACAGAGTCAGGCACCATGGGCAGGACTAAGCACCACTCGGCCACACGCACCCCCAGCCCCTCCGGCCCTGCCAATCCGCCGACCCGCCTGGTGCTCTGGGAAATCAGCCCCAGCTGGGATCCTGGGTTCCAGGGGGAACTGGCCTTTGGGCCTGGACAATGGAGTCTTGTACTGGGGGTCAGAGTCTGTGGAGGAGCCTCCATCGTGCCAGGTGCTGCGCAGATGAAGACTGAGATCGGTACCCTTGAGCTCAGGGCCCCGCTGCGCTGGACGCTGCCCGGACACAGAGAGCCGGTCTGGGAGCCAAAAGGCTCATGGCAATAGACCAAGGGAGGCGCATTCTCCTCACTTCACAGATGGGGACACTGAGGCACGGCCAGGGGCCATGACTCTCCTGAAGTCAGAGCCTGGGGGGAGCGAGGAGGGGGACGGGGCAGAGAGACGACACAGGCTACTCGGTTCTTGCCCCAGATCGGCCACCTCCTGCTGGTGTTTATTTACAGGCCGTTGCTCAGAGCCACCGACCACAGCCTGGTGCAAAGAACCGCATGGGGGCTGTGAAAAGGGGAAGCCCGCAGGCTGAGGAACCCCGCTGGCCCCCCTCGGAAGGGAGCTGCTCTGTCTCCCCTGGATACTCCCTGGAGGAGGAGGCCAGAGACTGACTCAGGGGTTTCTGCACCCAGCTCCTGGCTGGGCATGGAG